CATACGCTAAATTATTTGCGAATGTCTCATAAAAGCACTACCGACATCAACTTTGTTTTTTCAATACCAATTCAAAATTGTCCTTCGTTTCTCAACTGTTTTTTGCCATAAAGATTTTGAAAACTAATTTATTAGAAACCTGCGTCTTGATGCAGCTTTAAAAGCAAGAAATATTCCTTCCTTTCCTTAGTGCTGAACTAACTTCATTAGCTGTTGAGGAGCATTTTCTACTAAGTTTTCAAATTTCAAATATTTTATTTCAATTGACTTTTATTTCAATTATTTTTTATTAAACCCTTTTCTCTTGAATTTATTTGGCATTTTGTACGTTTTTTTTTCATACTAATATGTTCTACCCTATACCTGATATGTTTGTTTAATGAAAATGAAATTTTCAGCTTACATATAATAATAATAAGCTTACATTATCGATCCTGTAATAATGGCTGAACCTAAATTACCCCAATTCATCTTCATCTCTTTATTTAAACAACTTATATGGCTATTAATGTAAAACATATGGTTTTCATTTAAAAATGAGTTTGATTCATTTGAAATATTGGAACTTTGTTGCTTTTTAGAAAATGCATCTGAGCACTTAATCAATATTTAAAATCAACAAAAGTACCTTTCATCTTCTTACCGTCTCTGAGATATTCATGTTAAAAATGCCTATTGCAATGGAAAAAATAAATTACCCGGCAACGGAAACGGACTAATATGAGGTGTAAAATTATTGAGAATTTAATGCAGAATTCAGAAATGAAGCAAAAGTTTGGCTGTGCTATAAAAATAATAACTGTATTAAAACTTTTATGACAAGATAAATGTAGAAAAGTGTACAGCGAAAAATCTCAATTTCACAGTAAAAGCTTAACACGGGTTTGCCATTTAATAAGTTTGAAAGCAACTCATTTTAATCCATCAAAAACCAGTTTCAAATTTACAGCGTATGTGGAGTAAATTCGAAACTAACTTATAAGCTCATAAGCTTCTATGCAAAGAAGAAATCCGTTTTCCTGTCACAATTTATCTTCTTCCTTGTCGCATTTTCTGCGTAACAAAATAACGCACATTTAGCAGTAATCACTCAAAAACATAATAAACCTGCATTAATTACACTGAAAACTATCAGTTAAGTAAGAGAAGTTTAGAAATTTCAGAAACAACACAAAACATGTTAATGTTAACAATACAAAACCTGAACAGGAACAGAACGCCTACCTTAATTTTTAATACATTAATAAATTCTTCTTTGCATATATGGATAGTATTAATTGTGCATTCAGTTGGCTATTACTTTGCTTTGTCGATTCTTATTTGTTAATTTACAGGGTGAATACGTTTCTTTATCTATGTTTTATGATTCTAGAACTATTCAGATACTTTATGTAATACCGAATAAATTTATTGAGCCATTCGATTCGGTCTATGATTATGCTGATTAGGCTTCTGAATAATTACAAGATGCAGTTTCTATCGTGAAACGCACACTTCCATATCGGTAAAACAATATTACAGTTTACATCAATTTTCGTCCAAGATATAAAAAAACTCATACATAATTAATTTAATTTATTAATTAGATTTATATTGATTACTCTTAGACCGAGTTAAAAATTAGCGTGTGTGTGTTTAACTTTAATTTTAACTCCTCTATTAATTTTAAACCAAAAATTGCTTGTTTGACCTTTTTGAAAAATTATTGATGAAGTTACATTGTTAAAATATCTGTGAAAGTAAAAAATTAAGGAATTTATCGAGAACACAAAACATTCCAATGAGTATCTGTAATCGTTTTTGAAATTTCGGGTTAAAACATCAAACGCAAAATAAAAAGACAAAGTTTATACAAAAACTTCATTTTTTACACCCGAAAAAAAAATAAAAAAATACCCTCTGTGTTTTTATACATTTTTTATATTTTATAAATGTTTCCCTGAAATACTTTCGGTGTGGTTAACTCTGCGGATAAAACGCTTCTTTACAAAGATACTTTGTAAGTGTCTAAGAAAAAATAAGTCATACCGAACAGTTTTCTAGACTCAGCCTCTTCAAAGCTCTAGCTGAATAGCATTATAAAATATCAAAAGAAAACATTCAATACGGTTCTTTCCTTATTTGAATATGGTCAATAGTAGGATTGTGGATATAAAAAGAATTGTGGAGCTTCGGGTTCTAAACGCCGGCAGACTATGAGTAGGTGAAAGTTTATACCTCAAGTACTTTAATAAAATTACCTAAAACATACGTAGGGATAATGAACAAAATGATGCTGGAACTTTAGGCAACGATGTAATAAATTAGGAGAAAAGAAACCTCTATGGAAGCCAGAGAAAAAAATGGAGAATGCTGAGAGAAAAGCTAGAAGTCAAAGATACCATACGAACCAATAAAATCACGACAAAACAGTGGAATCTATACGAGGAAGAGGAAGACGAAAATAAGGAACAGGCGAAAATCGATCATGAAGAAAACAACGACATAGAATTAACAAATGATTAAACACGATTTAAAACACCTTAAAATTGCTTAAAACTAGAAAAAGCCCCGGACCAGACGAGATCACTAATTATATGCTTAAATACGGAGGAATAAAATTACAAAATGAACTACTGAGCCTATTTAAAAATATCACAGAAGAACGGAAAATACCAAACGAATGGAAGAACAGTATAGCAATACCCATTTTTAAAAAGGGGCAGAAAGCCTTATTGCTGATTCCGAAGACAACCTCCAAAGACTATTCCACTCTTATAGTGCTCAAAATTTAGCACTATTTATCAATCTGTAATAAAAGACGTGAGGAAACTGTCTTTCTTAAGACGAAATACCCAATAAGCAGTTGGTAAAAAAATACATTTTTTTAAGTTAAGCTTCTTACTTCAAACTGGTATCTTGAAAAAACGTCAAAATGATCAGCGAATCGTCTCATCGCTTTTGTCCAAGGATTCCTTTAATTGATTAGACTTGTTGAATTTTAAGTGAACGTGTAACGCAAATGTAAAATACAAAAATCATCTAACGAACCGAAAATATGCCTGATGTTTAATCCAATAAAACGCAAGCAATAGTTACTAAAATTCCTCGTTTCTGCACGCAAAAACTAGATCAGTGCGGCAGTGAAGCCTTAAAATTATATAGAACCTAAAACGGCCAATTTCCATATAAATTAAACGACACTAAATATTAAGTGAAACCTAATTTACATGGAAGACGGCATTTTATGCTTTTATAAGGGCCCACTTGTAAGACCAAATGCGCTAGTTAATCGAGTAAGCTAATTTGAGGTACCTACACTTTAAGTGGTTGAAAATTCAAATATAAATTGATTAAGACTGTTTAAATTTAGTCAGAAACCGCGTTGCTGGTGCAATATTCTAAAATTGATTATAACAATGGTATCATTATTACAGAAAAACATAGCTTTAAGAAAAAATAAGACCACTGAACTTTGAGTAAGCTCCCAAAAATAACACAATGATTGTTTATGACTTTTCCTCACTCTGACTTGATCATTTTCGTGCCAAATTATTCATTTTCAACCCTCTAAAAATGCATTACAACACCTAAACAAACGAAAACAATGCCAGAGATGAAAATATTCTCGTACCCTTCTCGAATATGGATTTTAGAGGACTAAGCGCGCGAATGGCACACGTGCCATTCAGATCACGTAGCTATCTTACTAATCTCAGATTATTGATGTGATAAGGGTTCGAATGGATGAGAAAACCGTTTTACTTCTCATCGAATTTCACTTCGGTTTAAAATTGCTCTGAATATACAACTTCCCGTTTGCGTTTAGCCGATGAAAGAACTTTTCACATAAATTTACTAAAATCTTGTGTTAACTATTTTTACGCGCAAAAACTCCGTTTCGGTCAAATAAAAAAGCAATTAATCTTAAAAATAGACTTTGAAGGAATTAATATTACTAGCTCTGATATCAGTATTATCCAATATTGTACAAACTGTGACATTTACTGGTTCAATACTTTTTATTTCGTAGCGCGTTCCCAAGCATCAACCATCCCATAAATAATTCCACTTTCTAGCTGTAAATGTGCACAAAAAGTACATAAAGAGACACGTAATGGGCTCGAACGCTATTTTTAGTAGGCCAATTAATTTCCAGCGACAAATAGTTAAACGGTGATTCATGGTTAAATATTTGTCAAAGCAAAGACTGCTTCTCTGATTAATTAGAAGATAGTCGGGCAAAGAAAATGCAATATTTCACCCTGTATGCAAGAATGAAAATATCAACAAAACATATAAAACCATTTATCAGACAGTTAGTGAAAAGTTACTTTTAACGACTGCAACTCCGATGCGATAATTTACTCGGTAATGCAGCCATATAAGCAAAAAGTATTTAATGATGAATTTAATTATAAAAATATATCAATCAAAAATTAATCTAATGAATAAGGATAGGATGAAAGTTGATCTAAGGAAGTAAACAATTGAACAGCTTAGCACAAAAATATATTATAATTATCTGTGCCAATACAAATGAAAATATCGGTATTAAAGACTCATAGGTTTAAAAGAAAATATGTTTAATGTTTCATTTCTTGAGAAACAGCTACAAGTAATTTCAAATCTGCTTAATGGTATCATTAGCACTTGTTTTCGCTGAAATACGTAATTAGAAATACCGAACTACACGAAACAATTACTTCCAAATGCGCACTTGTTTAGAGATTCATAACATGCAGTTTTCTTGTTTGGCACATAAAGCTTTTCTAACAGGAAAATAATGTCCTCATTAATAAGCAGAAAGCGGACATTTTCCTGTACACTCATCACAAGATATGAATTTTCATGAAGCAAGAAACTGTTACCCGGCTTTTCCGAGTTATGGTTTGTTGGCTGAGTTCGAGGGGTTGTTTGGCAGTTTGCACACAGTTTCTATTATTGTCCGGATATACAGGAGTCAGATATATTAATATGTAACGAGTCAGAAATAATGAACTTCTTATTTTCCTTTGCAGGTGAACCCCGACTACACGATTCCGACGTTGGTCGATGGGGAATTTGTGAGTTGGAACACTCACGCCATTTTAGGATACCTGGTGAATAAATATGGCGAAGACGACAGTCTATACCCGAAGGACCCAGAGAAAAAGGACCAAGTAGAGCAAAAATTATTTTTTGAATCTGATACGCTATGTCCCAGAGTCAACAGCGTCATTGTAAGGATTTGTTTAATCACAGTTTTATTATCCAAGCAATTATTTTAACTGATTATATGAGATTTTCTCTGAACTATCTCACATCAAATCAAATAATGCACACAAAATCGACTGCTCAAATGTGATTTTTAGAACAGTAAATAAAATTTGTATCAATCCGAATAAGTCGAGTACCTAAACAAAACAGCGTTTACGTTTCAAACATAAATACCCTGATTAAAAGACGTTTTTGTTTTCAGCAGGCGATCATAGTAGAAAACGAAAAAGAAATCCGCACCGAGAAAATAAGTGCCATTACTGAGTCCTACATGCTACTGGATGGGTTTCTTGAAAATAAAAACTTCCTGACTGGAGATAGTTTGACGATAGCTGACCTGTGCTGTGTAGCCACAGTCAGTACAGCTACAGTTATCACTCCTATATCGACTGAAAAATATCCCAATTTGTCTCACTGGTACCGAACATGCAAAAATCTAAACTACTACGAAGAGACCAATGGTGTCGGATTGAACAACCTGGATGCTTTAGTTGAATTAAAACTGGGACGCCCCAGGACAAAGGAACTATGTGAATAGCACTTCTTGTGAATACTTTTGTGATATTTTGTACAATTTTTACTCTAGGCTACTCCTATTCGTGATCTATTTAATTATTTATTAACTTATTGACGCAAGTTTCAATATTGATTATTATAATAAACGCACAAGTATATCTACCACCCACATAATTTATTTCCCTGATAACATTACAATCACTACATCATTTTAGACTTTCATTTGCATAAGACACTTCTACTGATTTTTGCTTCAAGTTAAAACTGGTTACCAAATTGTAAAAATGCCGACAAAAAGACGGTAGAAAAAAAACCAAGTTAAGAAGTCTTTTAAATGTCGCTTTTCAGCTGTAAACTGGAGAGTTGAATTTTTTCCCCTGGTTTAAACGCTGGCATACCTAGGTAAGGACAAGTTGCACATCGGAAAGCATCACCGAGATAGCACTAAAATGACAAAAAACACTACTTTTTTAATGTTACCTACGCAATGTTTTAGATAGTTTAAAATTAAGCCGCATGTGTTTAGACGCTTTATGGGTTGATCGCCACAACAATAACATGGCTTATAAGATAATATCTTGTATAGGAAAAGAAAAAAGACCAAATGGGGAATACGAAACATCAAAGGAATTGCCGCGGTCTGGACGCATCTTTACAAGTCACACAATTCTTGCTGCATAAAGTCTGGTTTCTTAAGATCGAATGCGTCCAAGTTGCTCGTTTAATAGCTGCTATCCACATTTTCCGCCGTTTTTAATAGTTCGTTCATACGTGGATAATAGCAGGCTTCTTTATATGTGGGAATTCAAAAAAATCTCAGAGTATGATCAGGATTACTATGACTTCCACAATTCACTAAAGTCAAATTACTGGTGTTTTTGCAATGCAGAGTCAAATTGAAAGAACACGATTTTCCAGGGGATTAAACAAAAGTTCGCTAAAATTCTGTGACTGTAAAATTAACCGTACAACAATTCTAAAAGCTTGCTAAAATCGTTTAAAGGCACATGTAAACAAAGGGACTAGAACAAAGTGCCCTCCTTAAATATGATCAGAAACTTACGCTTCCACATGAAGATTTTGGTGCATCAGAGGTATTCACAATCTTTCCACTCTGGGCCTCCGCAGTAAGTTCGTCAGCCAATCCACAAGAACAATCTTTACATGCCTTGCGTTTGCCGGTGGTGCCACATACTGTAAACGTTAATAAAATGTTACTTTTGTGTATGAAAATACATGTTCATACATCATACAGGGTGGCTCATTTTAAAAGAACCAGTCCGGTAAATTATGGGGAATAAAAGAAAACGTGTTAGACAAATGTTGTATAGTTATTAGGGGGAAACTCGGTGGCGATACACAAATTTTAGATAGATACCGCTTCTAACATCAGGTGGGGAAGTGTTTAATTTTTTTAAATCGATTGATATTTTTTTACTACGAAATCCGATTCCGCCTTTATTTCCAAACAAAACGTATTAAGGGGGTAGGCATGAGTAGATGTAAGTTTAAGTGCGCTTGTAATTGTTCTGAGTTAATCAACCTTTTTTTCTCATGACAGTTTCCTGATATTTTACAATTTCAAATTCTAAAAAAAAAATTCAAATAATAAATAATACGTTGTTGGCCTTTGTTAAATTTTTGTTTACATTCTTTGCTTTCGTAACTTTTATATTCGATTTTATATTTTACAGGCGCAGAGCATACCATCGATTAATACGAATAGTTAAAAAGTTACTTGTGATGAGAGGCGAACTGTTCCCTTTATATATCTCAAGAAAGAATGGCTGAAGAGACTTTCACCAACAGATCCATGAAGAATGTGTACAAACACAAATCTAGTCATAATTGGCTGTTAGAACTTTGCGTAAAAAGAAATATGTTTTAAAAATAATTTGCAAACGTCTGATAGCTTGCAGTTTTTTACTTAATTTTATGCTTAATTTTAATTTTTAACTACTAACTTGAGAAGTCACCATTATTTACTCTCTTCCCTTAATAATATTTCTCTCCCTAGGTCAATAACAATAATAGAAAAGTCCCTAGGTTAATAATGAAATATGTGTGTTTTGCTCTTGCTTTTATTTTTATTTTGCCCACAGTTCGGGTGATATTCCATCCATTTCCACTCCTAAATCACTGTCACTTTAAGATTCACTAATTTTTCGCTTTCCAAGTGTTTCATAGAACTTTTATATATTTTCTGAAGACCAATAAATTATGTTGCGGCAGTTTGACTGATCGTCAGGCTATCAAATATTGCGATACTTCAGAAAACTAATGGGCAATTCAAAATATAATTAATTCAATTAAGGCAATTATTCGGGTTAGTAGAAAAGTAAATTATAGACACTTCGGTCGATAAGGCTTCTCGACCTAGGTATATAAAATACTATTTCAATTTCCTACAAGAAAGTGAAGGCATTTTGAAGCAGTCCGCCCCAAGTTAATTGGTTGTGACGTCATTATTTGAGTCACCATATTGAAATTTACTCATGTCCGAGATTGGTTTGAAACATTTTTTCTCAAATAGTTTCTTTTTCATATTCCGTGGTTGCCAGCTTAAGTGTTTGTTCCGGGTGATTTGAAAATATTAATTTTTGTTGAATCAGATATTATTGTTAGAGCTCGGTCTTACAGAACTATTTTTATTATTCATTATTTAATTAAACAATCGGCACGAGATAATTATTAAACATTCAAATTGTCAGAAAGTCACAAACAAAGTAACAATATGTTCAGATGTTCGGCCGGTTGCTCCCTTTGCCCATGATCTAAATAGGAGCGCTAAGGCGTCCATTGCAGGGATGACACAAAACAGTACTTTTCAGTCACATGTTCCATCTGTGACTGTTCCAAGCTCGTACCTGTTCCAAGTATCTGTGATTTTTTATCACATGTTATTTTGGCCCATGATAAATATTGGTTTGTACCTGAAACCGGGTTAAGCGTATTTTGAGTCCAGTCGGATTAGACTTAAAAGGCCTGTTTCGGGCACTGAAAATATGATGGTAAAAGATTATTGGAAGTTGCTCGGAAGGATGTCTGAATATTAGGACAATAGTTTGAGCGCGATTCCCGGCTGTGGAACATTGTTTAAATAATTAAAGAAAGTGCGAAAGCCCGTTTTTTGTGCATAATTGATAAACCGTTGATGCTATTGAAAAAAATCCTTTTTTCAAGTATTAAAAATACCTATGATATCAGGTAAAGTACATTAAAATCCGTTCATTAGTTTACTCAAAAATCGGAAAAAAACCGTCGATTTCAGCGTTTTGTTAACTTTCAATAAGTAATTAATTTAGTTTGCTTTGTCACAGTCAGTAATGAAATTGTCATTTATTGTACGTTGTAGTATAACTCTTTACGAGTAAAATACAGCCTCAAAAAGGTCTCTACGACGTCTCAAGAAAAATGTATTTAGAATCTGGCAAGAGCCCTTTTTACATAACAAATAGGAATGAACAAAAAGTTATGAATATTTGAAACTCAAATTTATACCACTTATAAAGTATACAAAAACCTTCAAAAAAAGTTATAGTGAGATTTTTTGAAGCAAAACCAAATTAATTATAAAAAATTTTGCTTTCATCTATTTAGTGCCCGGAAAAAATCTAATCTAATCCGACTACACTAATTGTTCCATTGAAGGAGATTCTCGCCATTTCCTACTAATTTGGGTGCGAATTTGCCGGGTCAGCAACAAATTATGACCGAAGACCGAATGCCTTTTGTTCCTTTATGTATGCAAGGGCTGATGATCAAAAAAAGTTCATAACATTTTTTCATATTTTTTCTATGCTAATCACTGCCTTATAGTGGAGGTGTAGAGCAGACGTTTATTTTGAACTGATACAAATGAATTTGGCGCCAGAAGAGAGTATAACTTTCTTTGGGCCATGAAGGTATTTTGTATAGTCAACATGTCGGACGTCTAGTTTGATTTAATCTAGTCTCTTGTACTGGTTTGATTGGGGTATTTCGGACCATGAGTGGCGATAGGATTTTGTTGTTAGTGAATTTGCGCGAAAAGATAATAAGTTCAGTCTTCCTACAATTCATTTTAAGTTTCCATTTGTTGAAATACGACGTCAATACACTCAGATAATGTGCAATGCGAAATTTCGCAGCCTGAGCATGAAATGACGATGTGTTAATAGCCGTATCATCCGCGTATTGTGTAATTTTTGTAGTAGTAAGCTATGGAATGCCTACTGTATACATGGTATACAGCAACGGCGAAATCACTATACCTTGTGGTACTCTTGCCGCGATGTGTCTTTTGGCAGAAGTGGAATTTTCCACTTTCACCTGGATGGTACGGTTTTGTAGGTAAGAAGCTACGTACAGTCCTTGGCGTTAACTTTGAGATGATGAACAAATGATGAAAGAAAAATGAGGAACTCTTTAGGAGGAAAAATATTTCCACGATGGTGGTGAAAATATGAGCCAAATAAACCGTTGTTTGCTCATTGGTTCCGAGCAATACATCACTAAAAAGGCGTACGTTACTAAAAAGAACAAAATGGTTGGATCTACATATAAATAAATTGTGTCCAAATTCTGAAGGATTTAGCCGAATTAAAAGGGAAAATCGTGGTTGTTTTAAAACATGTTTGGGTTTCTAAACCGCCATCCGTTGCTCCCCGCTTCTTTCATAATTTTCAAAATACGTATAAGTTATTCCTTCACCCTTACTGAAGATGTTTGTCAAGAATATTTTCAAAATAGCAATTGGAAACCTATTGTGACAATCATGACTAAACTAACAACGTCTTCTTACCTCTCAAACTAGTAGGATCGGGCTTCTTCAAATCATCCTCATCTAGCAGATCATCTGGATCTATCAGATCATCCTCATCGTCATCATCCAGCTTCCACACTGTCGCCTTTTTCAAGTTAAGTTTTACTGATGAACCCACGGCATACTTAGGCTTAAGTGCAGTCACAGAACTTTCCTTTTTGGCGACATTTACAAATCCAGCCGTTTTTAAATTGAATTCTGTGGCATCAACAAACTGAACTATTTCAAGCTGCCCTTCAGGTTTGAGAATACCCAACAGATCTTTGAGGAGTTGGGGAGTTAAAAGGTCGGGTTGATCATCGTAAATAACTTTTTTAACGCTGTCGTTTCCAGCCTCTGGATTCAAATACAGAAATATTAGGAGTAATTTGCTAGTCATTGTTAACTTTACCTTTTAGCAGGCCTAGATTTGAAATTAACTTTGAATCGGGAGATTCTGCATATTTAGTGCTGTTTTCGATCTGGGTAATTATTACTAGTGGAACGGGCGTCATAATTGTTCAATATTTTGACTTTAAATTTCAACAGTCTGTGATTTCAACCAAATAAACTATGGGCTCAAAACTTGCTTTTTAAAATTGTAGGTTATTCAGGTTTCAGCCCTGACACTTGACAGCACCAATCAAAAATATATTTGTAAGGTTAGGATTCTTTGTTTACGCTTTTTTATTTATTTTAGCTAATTGAAAGCAATTGCATAAGAAAACATGACTGAAAAATGCAGAATTTGTTTAAAAAACACAATGAAAGAAGAATGTATTTGTATTGGACATAAATTAAATGAGGATTGTAAGATATTACAAGGCATTATCACTTTAACCTCCATCCAGGTAAAAAAATTACAATATGTAAAGAAATACGCAGCATTTGAAATATTAAAAGGTTTTAGAAGCTGACCCTTTACCGCAGTTCATTTGCCACAAGTGCCACCTAAAATTGGTGCAGTTGTATTCCTTTAGAAACTTGATAATTTCATCTGATAATGAATTAAAGTCCTTGCTTATGAAGCCAGTTATTTTGAACAAAAATCAGAAAACTGAACTCGAAGAAGCACTGGTTCAAGATATAAGTATAGTAAGAGACGAATTAATTCGAGCCAAGACTGAGGAGCTAAATAATTGTGAAGCAGTAAATCCCAAAAAAGAGCGGATAACATTAATCAGAGCGCCTAAAGTAAAAACCCCAAAAGCAGAAAAACTAGTCAGGAAATACAAGTGCCATGACTGTGAAAAAACCTTCAAAAGATTAGATCACCTTAATGTCCATATCGGTTACAGACATTCAGAAAGAGCGTTTAAATGCGAAAGATGTAACAAAAAATTTGCTAGGAAATATGATTTGAATGCTCACGTTCGTATTCACACTGGAGAAAAGCCGTTTACATGTGAAATCTGCGGAAAATCTTTCGCGTAAGTTAATATCGCAACTATATCGTACTTGTTAAAACATGTATTGCCATTGTAGATCGGCAAGCTATTTTTATGTTCATAAAAAAATGCACACCGGACTGAAGCAAGTTAAATGTGATAAATGTGAGTGTTCTTTTACTAACTCAAATCGCCTACAAATTCACGTCAGGCAAAAACACACAGGAGAACGGCCATATCTTTGCGAACTGTGCAGCGTTGCTTTTGTTAGCAGTAGCGCTTTGTTTAGGCATAAGAAAGACGTTCATGATGAAGCAAGTTTTGTCTACGCATTTCATTAACATATGGACTTATGATATAATTTTCAGAAAGTTGAATGTCCGATATGTCGGAAATTATTCAGCAGAAGGGTTTTAAAAGAGCACATCAAGCGACATCGGGAAAGAGAAGAAGGAATAAAAAGGTTCAGTTGCGATCAATGTAGCAAAAAATTCACCTGCGCCACCAGCAGGAAAAGGCATATGGTAATACACAGTGGCGAAAAGCCCCACAAATGTCAGGTACGAGCCAATAAAATAATCCCAGGAATTTACAGTGTCTGTTCAAAATGCTACGACCGATTTCCGTGGTGAAAACACTTTCATAACCCATTCGAAACTTAAATTATCTCATCCAAACCTGCACTTCTATAAAAATTACTTTGTTTGTAGTGGTTTAAGTGCCGCTTGGCCCGATGAATTGGAAATTATTTCTTTATTTGAGCGACATTTTATTTTGCGCACTTTGGAGAATTGATTGTAATGAATATAGGCCTAACGCTGTAAATATGGTTTTCTAGTTTCAGAATATTTAATTTCATACTTTTATATCCATTTTTCTTCCTAATTCTCCGTTTTGTTTAGCTATTTGTTAACGTTTCAACTTTGTCCTCAATCGACTTCATTCGTATTTCCGATATCGACCCCTCTTGTATTGGACACAGTGAATATCTAAGCTATTTAGTAAAATCCCAGTTTTTGTCATCCCTTTACCGCAGATTTATAAACAATCGCACATTTGTTTCAGATATGTGACAAAGCTTTCAATCAGCGTTCCACGCTCCAAACGCACATGCGGATTCATTCACAGATCATGCCTTATCAGTGTACGGCTTGTACGGAAACTTACAGATATCAACATCAGTTAAAATCGCACATTGAGAAGCAGCACAAAACACAGATTATCTCGGAGAATAAGCTTGTTATATGAAAGCAAACGGACTGATATGCCCTAACATATCTGTGAAATAGTTACTTACTTGATGTTGAGCCTCGAAGAGAAACTTAAAAAAAAAAGATAAAATTTTGCCGATCAGCTAAAGGAGTCCAATTGTGATCAATTAAAATGCGAACTGTAGCGCAGAAGCGCTGAATCTTCGAAGAGATCAAAAAAGTGCCTTACTATGGATTCAACATTATAAAACTTGTACAAAATTATATTTTATGATATTATAAATATAGTGGTTTTTTAATTTATTCGCATAAAAATAGAATTGTAAATATATGCAAAACGTATGTTTGCTGTTCAGTATTTGATCTCTCCTTAACTTTTTATGTTACATTATTGGTGGCTTGATTAGATAACCGCGGTCATTTAATGGTAAAGATATTCATCTCATTACTTTTCATTTTCAAGGCGGTTTCATAATCATCTTTGAGGTACTAATTGTAAAGAAAAAAACACACCAAACGGTACCAACTTATTTATTCTCGCTGGTATCATGGTCAGCTTCATTATCACTGACTTCCGCGGTACAATCGAGCGTTTCAGCATCTTCTATTGACATTGGTAATAAATCGCCCCAATTTGAAGATCTAGCGCAATGGTAGGTCAACCTAAAATAATAGCAGATATACTACTAGAAAATCATGAATCTTTCCTCTTCTTGATACCTTTTAAAAAAATTATCAAAAGGAATATGAAGTATTATCAAATTATTTAAAGTTTTCGCTGTTTTTTTTTTCATATTAGAGGTGAAAACTTACTGCGGATTATCAAATGCATGTTATACCACTCTCTCTTTTTTAAATATTCTAATTTAAGCTGCCCAGAGTAATTACAAAAGCAGTCAAATTTTATTTATTTTACGTACTTGCCATGCCTTTTTGCCGTAAATATTACTTCCCGCAGTTTTCCATTTGCTGTACATATACGGCATACAGAGTGTTTCGTTCGCACTAAGATGGGTTTTACCACCCTAGGCCAATTCAAATCATTTGAATGATCTCCTGAAAGTTGTTCAAATAGTTTCATAACAAAATAAATTTTTAGTACGTTGGTTATAGAATTATTTTTGCCCAATACCTTTTTTCAACACAACATAAGAGTATAGCTCGTGTTTCATCTCCACTTTTTTTCCAATTGGCATGCAGTTATAACGTACTTTAAAATTGCAAGGTTTTCCGTCCTTACTCGCAAACCGAGGACATATATTATCATGCGGACACTGAAAAATGTATTTTCCTTTGGTAAATTGAATATAACAAAAGGCGCGGTGTGAACAGGTTCTAAGGACAACTGACAACTAAAACCATTATATGATCGGTTTGCAATAGTAACAGAAATAATAAAAGATAAACCAATATAATTTAAAAAAATGTAAAAAATGGACGAATAAAAATGACAATACTCACAGGGCTGAAAATATGGCCTTTCGCTTCTTTATCGGCCTGTAGTATGAAGTCTCTTATTTCATTTACAATCTGAAAAACGAGTATCACTAAAGCTGTAGGTGAAAAAATGTAAATAGGATTATATAAAACTCACAAAAAGAAGCAGCTATACTAAAAAAACAGAATGATACATCACAATCCTAAAGTAATCACCTTAAATCCAGCATAAGTCCCCTGTTCGACAATAACTAAATATTTATGTGTTTTATTCCATAAATTTAAAGCAACTTCTAGTCTATTCTCTAATGAAGGCAGCTCCATAAACGAATACGCGGAGGTAACTAAGTCATATTCTGCCTAAAACCATGTAAAATTTATGCATATCGGCAACAAAAAACAAATTAAGTTTACACAAATGCCATCTTACGTGTGAAGCTGGCAAAAACTGTCTGTAAAAAGTTCCTTTAACTGAAGTTTTGCCATTTCCCTTTCCACCTTTCAATAAAATTTCAGCAAGATCATTCATGTCTGCGGATGTGTCGACGTTGAAATATTCGAAAATGTGTTGCTTCCAATATGCGTTTGCAGCCCTAAATTCACATTAAGTCGATGTAATAAATTAAAAAAATATATTTCTACATACGCACCATGTTACAGTACCAACGCCCGAGCCGAAATCAAATAAACTTCTAGGGGTAAATTCTGGATCTCTCTTAGCAATTTCTCCAAATATTTTCATTAAAACTGCATATTCGGCAGGAGCGCGTGCCATTAGATAGACTAGTGCAGTATACTCATCGTATTTTATAGGTTTCCAGTTATATATTTTTTCTCTTCAAATTGACAAAATATTGAATAGAATTCGTTGAAATGTAACAATAAATACACCCGATAACACACAAATCCGTTCAATAGTTACTGACTTTGCAATATTCCAAAAAAAATATGTGGAAGGAGCACATTTTAAAGCGCTATACAGGGTGTCCCGTAAGTACATGATCAAAAGGATACTGCGATATTCTTTGCATCAAAAGAAGACGATCTGACCTAACTTTTATTAACCAAAGCTGTCTGGCTCCCTTGCTATTGATGGTCAATGTTGCTCAAAAAAATTATCTTTTTCGAAATATCTGGTAAACTTGAACTAAGTAATACAGGATGGTGGTTAAGTGGACGAATACCCTCAGCAGGTTTTAATACAAATACTTTCAAATACATTCCGGCCAAAACTTCCGTTAAATATTTTGACGACACTATATTTTCTTGCATCTTCCAAAAACGATTTGCATGATGTTATACAGGGTGTCCCGTAAGCACATAATCAAAAGGATTCTGCGATATTCTTTGAATCAAAAGAAGACGATCTGACCTAACTTTTATTAACGAAAAAATGTCTGGCCCCACTGCTATTGATAGTTAAACATCTTCAAAAATTTTTTTTGTATCGGGAGAAAGGTACGATGTATTTTGGTGAAACTCGCTGTGAATTTGTTCCTATGTACCACTCATATTTTGATGAAACAATCGAGTTCAGTCGTTTTGGACTACTGGTGAATTCTTGAGTGTCGTGGTACAAAAACTACCAGAACTTTTTATTTTTTATTTATTGGTTGATACTTTAATCATGTATTCACGTGACGACACTTAATAATTCACCACTTGGCGGCTGATCTCGATTGGTTCATCAAAATATGAGTTTTACATAAGAACACATTCACAGCGAGTTTTACCAAAATACATCGTACCGTTCTCCCGATATTTCAAAATAGATAATTTTTTTGAAGAATTTTGACCATCAATAGCAGAGGAGCCAGACATTTTTTGTTAATAAAAGTTAGGTCAGATCGTATTCTTTTGATTCAAAGAATATCACAGTAACCTTTTGATCATGTGCTTACGGGACACCCTGTATAGACAACGACTCGAAAATGTGGAGTAAATATTGAATTGTTGACTAAATAATAAAATAACCTGATTCCAAAGTTTGCCAGGGCCGTCCACCGAAAAGGTGGCATCATTATTTACTCTGCTGGTAGGTTTAGAAAAAAGGTCCAACCTTGTTAACTTTGATTTCTACCCGTACAATATACATGTTGTTTCAACATCCTTTAAATGAAAATCTGCAAGTTTTGACTCTATAGGTACGTTAAAACGCTAATAAAAGGTTGAGACTAGTAATTATATAGACGCAAAAGTAAAAAGTACGATTTATCTGGAGCCGTTGAGAATAATTCCATTGTACGATTATTAGCAGTAAGTTTTTTAAACTATGTCAGCTAGTGTGTAAAATATTATAGAGAGATAATAACAAAATCTGCAATCATCAAATAAGTATTCCAATTACCTTAAGCCTTTTCCAATTTTATTATTCACTGATTGTAGAATCCTTCTCTCAGCTTCGGCCGAATCTGGGTCTTTATATTTACACTTGGTCAGAACTCTATCTTGCACTTTATCAATAGTTTCTATTAATTCTTCCTTTTCCTTTGGTGCTAATTTTCCCCGCAAATGCCAAAACATTTTATTACTTGCTTCGATAAGAGGTTTAAGTGGATAATCTGAAACGCAACATGTCGGCTAGTGTTTTATAGAAGTAGATTCATTCCCACGATCTCTAATTATCGTTATTGTCTCTAATCAGATGGCTTTTGCCTGAAAACAACACCCCCCAAACCTGCGCCGTATTTCCACCATACATTTTACATCGAGGCAGAACTTATAGAAGACGAAATAAACCCATTTAGCTTTTGAATTGAGGTGAAGCTTTGTGTTTTAAGTGAGAAAAACCGTTAAGTTCGAACTGCTTGTTACATCATTTTTGTACCTTCAACAGTGTTAAGAACGGCCTTAACGAAAGTATTAGGTAGTGTAACTACTGAACTATCCATTCTTCCTGGATGCTTTCTGGGCTTGTACACTTCATTGGAGATATCATTCATCACGTTTTCATTAGGTACAACCGATGGTTTCTTCGCAGCAGACAGTTTGGAGAGCTAAAATTTGTTAATGCATTACTTAAACAAATATGAATATATATAATTAATTAGCTACTTTTCGAATGCACTGCCGACATGAGAAGCGGGGAATTGTATTTAGAATCATTTTCCAACGGGAGTTTATTTTGTTTTGTATTATAAAAAAAATTATAAAATGTGTTTGTTTGGATTAAAAAAGTGTGGTTAGCTCTCATAACATAACCTTAATGTGCGATCCTAGGGATGTCCTGTGATGTGCGATTGTCCGAAAGTGTTCCGAAATGTACTAAAGTTGCGCCCTAACAAGTATTGGTACTTCGATGCAAAAATATTTAATTTATTGGTAGCTTTTAACCCTGCTGACGTTTCGTAATTTTTATTTAACCATTGTCAAGGATTCTTTTTTGTGAAATTTTCCTCCAAAATAATAAAACAATTAAACGAAATAAAATTTAAAAATTTATATAACATAAATAAAATAAGTCCCAATTAACATGCCGCCCAAGAAAGATATGGTGAGATAAATCTCATGAAATCTGATATGATAAGATAAAAATATGCAATTATTTTATTTTTTGATTAAAGTTCAGAAATCTCCAAAACAAGAAATATTCTGTAAAAGCAAGCTCTATAGCAATATATACAATTCTGAAGAACCAAAGACGATTACTGTATTAAATTATGATAAAGCTTCGTCTAAACATTCACTGTTTTACGGTGTTTAAGGCTTAAGCCGAAAATTTAGAAAAACATTGTCAAAGCTTTGTATAATTTCAGTTCTGAACTTGCTTTCATAGAAATTTCGTTATTCGTTGATTGTGATTTTTTTAAATCAATAGAGGCTCTATATTGATGACCAAAGAATCAATTCTGGACAAATTTAGCAATAATTGAAAGTGTTACTGAAAAATTACCTTTTCAACGCAAAGGTTTCGCTCTATTGCATACATGCTGTTCAGATGTGTTCAGATTTAACTACTCTAAGTACTAAGATGTTTTAGAATTTAAAGAGATAAAATACAAATCTAAAAATTTTTTATATCCTAAATATTTCCTTCTGTTAACAGTATGAAATAAACTTGCATTTTGAAAAATTTTGTTATTCTTTTATTTAATTGAATATTATCTAAATATACTTTGATGCGGCCGCATCTTTACGCCTTT